CTTGAATTTTGTTGTGACGATGATACCTTGCTCTGATGATGTTCGTCATATGACGGACGAGAGCTTAGCAGTTTTTCACCGGAATCGAAGGAGATTACCTCGGAAACAGCGTGACCATGAATGTTCCAGTAAAGCCAATCGACAGCTGGTCAAGAGGAATTCGCCGTCGTCTTTTAGTGGAACCAAAGTACTAAAGCCAAATGGTAGCAGAACAAAGAGAATCGGCACATTCATACAAAATGATGGTCTCCCGAAAAATTGTTATCTCAAAAGATTCTTCGAAGCCCAAATAGTCTTCGTTTCTAAAACACGAACAACAGGCGACCAAATAAAATGGAAAATTATTGTCTAAGTCAGGCGTTTTTTGCTTCGAAGGTATGGGGAAATCGCATACGCGATGTTACTGTCAAGAATGTGCGCTCTCAAGGGTTTTTCGATCATCTAAAGAAGATCTAGTTGTCCGCGAAATTCGCTATTCTCTGGTGTTATAAGAACTGATTGCGATTCTATCAGTAAATTATTAAAAAGAGAGCTTGCAGTAAAAATCGCTGGTCCATGCATACCAAAGGAAATTTTAATTCAGGCCATACTTAACTTCCAGCCTCTACTTGATCTCTACAAAAGCCCCGGCGGGATTCGAACCATAGGCTTTCAATTCCAGCGGTACGATGGAAGTTAGAACATGTCCGATCTACCTTAAGCTGGCTTCGGTTCGAGCCCATGTCTTGGGTGCTGATTATGTGTGATAGTAAAGCTAAGTTTAAATGAGCACGAACTTTTGGAAGGCATGTAACAGTAAATATTCAATGAGCAATTAAGACATCTCTTAATGTCTATCATGGGTAGCCTCTTAATCATTTCTTATGAGACCATACCAAACCGGTGCTTATTGGAGAGATTCAGGCTTAGGATGACTTAAACTATCGTCAATGCAATGTCCTCTCAGTCGAGAATCAACGAGTCCTTCACAATTGCACTTCTAGTCGATCCACCTTCATCGCTTGGAGCCATTTTGAGGCGTGATCTCCGACATGAACAGCACGCTTCTTCATACTGAACTCCTCGACAAACTATGCGACCATAGTCAATTTTAAATAGGTAAGTGCTGCTGAAACATGATTTAGTCACAGAAAACATGAGACTGAAAAATAATACGATGCTAAGTTAAATGCTGCTTTTCGGAGCCGTCTGTCGGCTTCATACAACTTTAACAACTCCAAATGGAATTTAAAAAGATCCATCACGTCGAGTAGGTCATTCCAAACTTACTAACTACCTACACGGTCACTGTGCCCAAGAATAGGGGTTGTACTGGCGACAAAACCGTTTAACTGTAAATAGATGCACATCATCACTGCAGCAAAGTCAACTGAATCAGTAGTAGTAGTCGAGAAGTCAAGTCCTTTCATTTGACCGTCACCCTAAGTATCTTCACCTTGTGGTCTTCTTCTGCTAAATAGGTGTTTTTATCAAAACTCGAACACTCTCTTGCAGTTTTTACTTCTCTACTCCCTCTTCTTTGGCCATTTTTTGATGAAATTCTCAACACTCCTATCAAAAGCATCTCCCTAGTTTGTTTGCCTCAGTCAAAAATGAAACCCCTAAGTTGAAGGACTGGCAGTCAAATAGGCCCATAATGATATAAGTAGACTTTGTTTTTCCGTAAATTTCAGTTAGCCTTGCTTCCCAAAAGGTGTCCTGATCCAGGTTGGATCGCAATTTTGATCTCGCCTAGGTCTTAACAACACCACCGGCGGGACTCGAACCGTGTTGGTGCAGGCATTATATCGACACTATGTAATTCCCTCTGGCGGTGAATAGCTTTTGGTAAATAAGGCTCTCTAACATCTACTGGAAGCATTGTGCACAAATTTAGCTCATAGTCCTTCATCACCTTAACAAAATATAGTGAACACATCTCATTTATATATACTACTAGTATTTTTCGTACGTAAGTAGAGTTTCGAGCAATCTCAAACTACTAGTAGTCACTAAATCCTACTTAAAAACGAAAAAGATTACAATTAGTCGGGAATCTTGTCTGATTGGTCTAGGATTGGCAGATTAAGTGACTAAAGATGACAGCACTTTACTTTAAGTGTGGCTAAGACGTAAACAATTATATGTTGACAAGTTGTATAATGTAGTAGGCCTCTAGATCCGCATGAATGACCTTCAGTATGCGCTGACCGAAGGGTTCTGACTGGCCTACTTTTTGTCTCTCCACCGGAAAGAGTGTAGAAAAGTTCAATCTCAAGACTCAGATCCAGATCCTAGAGCAGATGTTGCTGCTGATTGTGATTATGGGCCGCTGGCTTTTGCCTCGAGACGGCATCAGCCGCGATCAACTCTCCCAGCTGCTGTTGATCAACATCGGCACAGCAGCAGACATTCTTGAAATCTTCGAGGCCTTCAACGAGGAGGAGGTGCGCCAAAACCAGCTTCTCCGCATCCTCATTCTCACCCTCTGGCAGGCGAGTCTGTTGCAGTTCTGCTTCAACAAGACGGCCACTCGAACGCCCCGTCGGCACCGGCGCTCGCAGGCGAGTCCGCCAGAGCTGGCCGCAGCTCTGCTGACGCAGACTCGCAGCTCCCTCGGTCAGAGTCCCTCCTCGGCGTCGGTGGCCGCCACAGTCAGCCTCGACTTGAGTCGCAGTCACTCGGGCGTCGACTTTCGAGAGGCGAAAAAACAGGTCACCATTCGTCCTCCCTCACCACGGTCTCAGCCTCGTGCGCGAGATCGGCGTTGCTGTGCCGGTCGCTGTGGCTCCCGCGTGCTCAGCGCCTCCTCGAGCTCGAGTTCCGACCTAGTCCGACTCGAGGATGGCCGGCCGAGACACGGGGCCAGACGAGAGTCAGCCAGGCA